AAAAAAAAAGTTTCATAATATTCATTACTAGCAAGGGAATAACTGAGTCAAAAGAGAAAAAGGACTTCATCTAGTGGTTTACCAAGTTCGATAATGGTTTCTTGAAGATAGCTATTTCAATTTTAAGAAGTGAAATGATAGAGTTCCTTGAAGCCAGGCAATAAAAAGTACCATTAAAACAACCAGGTCAAAGTTTCCATGCTTGATACATCATGCTTAACACTATCAACATACCCAGCAGCAACAATAACAACAACATCAAGCCTTTGTCCCATTACGTGGGGTCGGCTACATGAATCCTTTTTCACTATTGTGTCATATTAAAAGTCAAATTCTCATTTAAATCTAATCAAGAAAGATCATTTCTAATATTTTCTAACCAAGTCTTTTTAGGTCTACTTCTACCTATCTTAACATAAGTCAAATCTAATACCTTAACTTTCCTAACCGGGTCATCAGAAGGCCTTCATATAATGTGACCAAACCATCTAAGGCGACTCTCTCTAATCTTATCTTCCACTATCAACATACCCAGAAGAACCAAAAATCAAAAGGAAGCTCAAAATTAACTGATTCAATTAAACATAAAAAAAAGCTAATTATAAATTATTTAAGCAAGAACTTAGGAAAGTAATATAAACAAGATGCAACAATTTAAGTCAGCTGACTTATTTGTTCTTATGATGTTCATAGCTGAACATGGTACGCTTCATAAATTATGGAAAAAGGAATTCAAGAATCACCTGGACCATTCTCCTCACTTGATTCAAAAAGCAGTTGAAGACCAAGGCATATGCCCAGAAAGGGACGATCTTTCTCTATATACGTACAGAGTGCTTCTGCCAACCTACAAATACAAATGAAAATTTCAATTATTTCGTCAAATAGTAGCCTTTGATTTAGTCATGTTTTACAAAGCAGAATGACATAAATGCTGATAGGTAAAAGTAGCCATCGATTTAGTTCTATTTTACAAAACAGAATGACATAACTGCTAATAGGTAAGTGTCACAATAATGCTATCCGTCGATTTAAACATATATAGAAAGGATGTAAGAACAAAAAGGAATAATAGATATGGCAATCTTCTCATGATTAAACTTATTAACTAAATTTTCCATTTGGGATATGCTCCTCCAAGGTACTGGTCATTGGTTAGTTATGACTTGGACCTGTTAAGTACAAGCTGAAATGTAAGAGCAACCCTCATAATCAAAACCAGAGAGGCATCACAATACTATAAATTAATTAGGAGCACGGCAAGATAAACTATTTTTATGCATAAAGGTTACATCTTTAAAGAAGTAATCCTGTCGTATTTCAGGACTATCATACATCGGTTTAGCCATAAATGATGTATAACAAATTTAACAACGAATATTTATAATGTTATTTGAACATGGTTTCCAAATTGATAAATCGAGAACTCATAACACCATGGTTAAACAGAGTGAAGCTTTATAATTAAAGTAATGAATTGCTGAATTCCAGGGCATCATACATTTTTTTGCTACAGATAATGTTGAAAAACTAATAAAAGGAACTTATAAAATGCAATTGATATTCAAGTGGGAAACTGTCTTCTTTTCTTTCTTTCTTTTTTTTTTTCTTTTTTTTTTGTAGTCCCATTGTCTCATATTATTGCCAAGAACATGTTTGAACCTACCTCAAAAAGCTCTTTCATTATAGAGCAAAAATACAAAAGTGCAGTTTACCTCCTAGTAGATAGCAATAGCATATATCCAATGCCCGTGGTTAATCGGTGTTTCTTAAAAGAGGTATTATGTATGAACTGAATACAATTAATGAAGTGGCATCCCTTAAACACTTCAAATCCTCGTATGTTTCCAATAATTTATACCATACAAAGAGTCCTACTACTTCAAGGCAGTTGATGGCCATGTTGAATATCATCTGCCACACACAATTGAAAAAGTAAAGAAACTACCATAATCAAAACTATGTCAAGCCTACAATCATTGCAAATTAACCTTGATTGGTACAAAATTTCTAGATTTTCATCCAACTAAAATTAATTAAGTAAATTGCTGAACTTTAACCCTATCTTAAGTTATTTTTCAACAGAAATAATCTTTAAAAAATGCAACTAGGAACTTCTAAAATTTCATTGGTATTTTATCCATTAAATGCTATTTTAAATACCATAGTTTTCCACTTGATTGATTAATTGGAAATTCAAACCAATGATAAAATGAATAAATATAAAGATGTTGAAGTAGAAACCTATTCTGTTTTACATAAAAGTTAAGTAGAATACAAAATACTTAATTCCTCACATTTTTGCCCGCATAAACATTTCCAACAAAAAAGACACCAGAAAACATCAGTAACTCACCAGCATATTTTGCTTTAACAAAGAACCTCTTTTTTTAAAGGAAAATCCAATTAGAAAACATTTAGTCCTACTCAACATTCAGATAGAATAATCCCGATGTGCAGTCAACAGATGTGACTAAACATGGAATGTATTTTCTCACCCTGTATTGGATGAAAAAAATGCACTTAAGACAAATAATTCCTCTTTAATTACAAGGACTGTGATAGTAAAAGCCATTTTCCTTCGAAAAACATCTAATCAGTACGAAGAGTAGGGGAAGAGGGAATTCAAGGGATGGCAATGCACAAAAATAATGCAAAGAAATAGGAAAAATAACTAAATGAAATTCAATAACAATTAAGCTGAAAATAAGGTGGCTAGTTGTGATATATGAACAAACTTTTTACTTTTACCAACATTTTAAAGTTTACTGATACTGATTTCATAGTTGGTGAAAGAAAATATAGTAAAAGGTACACAATATTTTAAATAAAATCAATGCAAAAATTTTTAGTAATACTCACCCATTGTTAGTTAAGACATGCATTGCAGATGCGAAGGCACCAACCCCAGGGAAAACAAGGAGCTTTGCATTAAGAATATCCTCTGGTTTGTTTACCTAAGAATATTACCAGATTTTATATAAATACTTGCTAAATCTGTCATGAAAATGCACAAAAAAAAATGTCTAAGAACTTAGAAAATCATATACATTTACATGTATAAGAAGAGAAAATCCATGTTTGGAGCAACAGACCAAAGCAACACACGAGTCCATAGGAATCCTTGAATTCCACACTGTCAGGAAGTAATGGTAAACAAAGAGAGAAAAGTTCACAACACCAATGAAACAAATCCACAGCACACAGAAGTGCAATTACTAAACACCGTCCAATGTACAAACTAAAAACAAATGTGTACCAACTGCGTGGATATATATAATTTTCTTCTTCCATTAGCCGTTTTGATTCAACTTAACAAACTTTTCAATGGAAATGCAATCCAAGTTTCAAGGTTGATTCCTAGTAATGTTCTAGGAAAAAAAAAATGGCCATGCATCTTGCATAATATCTACATCCATAATCACAGCCATCAAGTTTTACGGGTTAAAGCGCATCAACCTCCAAAGGGGACTATGGTAAAGAATTGCTCGGATGTAAAGTATCTAGGCAGAGAAAACATTTTAAATATCCGAATCTCGATTCTTTGCACTAATTGCAACCAAATAATACTAAGAAACTGTGCAGAATTCAAGATAAAGAAAAGCTCAAAGAAATAAATAGAAAATGAACCTAACACATTATAAAAGCCAAATCAAAGTTTTTGAAAACCAAAATTACATATTTGACGTCAAAGCCAAGGTGCCTAATGGCGTTCCGCACGCTTCTGACATTGCCAGCGCCATAGTCAAGAAGAGTAACAGCTAGAAGAGAAGTGCAAAAATACGATCAGACGCGTATTGTAATGGCAGAAAATGGTGACTCGTGGGACGATTCTTACTCGAGTCCTCGGAGAAAGCGCGAACAGATAGAGAAATCCTGCGTTCGAAGTAGGGTTTTCCCGGACTCCACGCCGCATAGCCACGCGAGAGAGGACGACATGGGAGAAGACGATACCTACTTGTGGAGGAGAACGCCGGCGCTTCCATTTGGACAGAGGTAAGACAAAGACCGAGGAGGCGAGTCAGCGGCGGTATGGGTTCAGGCCAGTAGTTAGGGGTAGAAGTAAAATTTTGAATTATTTTTGGGGAAAATTTGGGCGTGGCCCTTATATTAATCAAAAAAGATTACATGTAATGAAAAAAAAAATACTAAAGCCATTTAATGGCCGGCTTGAAGAAGCCCAAAATAAGATAAAAATAACATGTGACTGGAAAAAAAGCAGCTATCAGAAGAAAATTTAAAAGTCAAAGAAATCCCAAAAGGATGATATCAGTCAGTCCCAGAAGGAAGAAATTCCCAGCGATCTTCATGAAGAAGACAGCAATATGGCAGCAGCAAAATTTCCAAAACAGAGAAGTGGTTTCCTATCAAAACCACAACCCCCAAAATTAGCATTCCAGAATGATCAGCAGTAGGAAGAAGAGCCCAAAAACAAAAGGAATCCAGTTCCCAAGCCTCATGTGCAACGAAGAGCCTGCAAATAAGCAAAACACAGCCAGTCCAGGATACCAAAAAGACAGATTGTAATTCCACCAGAGTTATAATGGCTGTCGTGAAAAAGTCTCCCTTGCCCATAGCTCCTGGACTCAGAGATTAAATAAACAGAACAGCAGAACATACACATCTCTGGTTGCCTATGCATTCCCATAGACCATCCAAGAGCATGTGCGGGGAGATTCATCATAGTCCAGGAGGGCAATTCTGCACATACCCGCAGAACAGAGAAGGCAACAGAAGGCACACCGGCTGCCACACTTAAATCCGGTCCAGTAATGCAATCACATTCCTCCATTTGGTAATTTTCTCAGAAATAGCTCTCTCGATGCTAAGCAGAAGTGAAGTATGACATAGAATTTGATTTCCAAAAATTCTGTTATTCCGCTCTTTCCACAGAAAGTAAATAATAGAGGATAAAACTAATTTGTAGAAGTTTAGGACATCCACATTACCATTGAATCTTCCATTTAGCCAATCATAGATTTGCAGAATATTCGGCCTAAATAGCAAAGTTTCCGTCCCCTTAAGTAAGGCAGTGAGGATGGAGAATGAATATGGGCATTCAAAAAAGAGATGAGACAGAGTTTCATCCCCATTATGGCAAAGACAGCAAAGAGTTGGAACCATAATGTTTCTTATTCTAAGAGCATCCGCTGTTTTGAGACCCCCAACGTTAGCCAACCATGCAAAAACAGAGAATTTAAGTGCATTTCTTTTATGCCAAACCATCCTATGCCAACTGCAATCAGTATAATCAGCATGAAAATCATCCATATAGTTTTTAAAATTGCTTTTCAAATTATCAAACCAAAGTAAACAAGGGCCATCAGCAGCATTGATACTTATTCCCGTAATAACGTTAGTAAGGCTAGAGGGGAAATAATCAGGAATAGACCACCCATTATCAGAAATAAGCTTAGTAAGAGCAATGTCAGGAATGAGTGCTATAGCATCATGACCAAAAATGTCACCAAGATTACTATTCTCAATCCAGTGATCCCATTTTAAAGAAATTGGTCCAGATTTAGTAATCCTGAATTTGAAAGCATTCTTAGCCTTAATAGCCGTGAGACATACGGATTTCCAAAATCTGGAGGCAGTGTGAGGAGAGGGCTTTCAGGGAGAGCTGTAATTCCTAAACAGCCAAGCCGAGAGAGGAGTCTGGGTATTGTACATTCTTAAGATCAAAGAGCAGTTGAAAGAGTATTGCATAGACAAGATGGAGGAGATGCCCAGCCCCCCTTTAGATTTAGGTAAGCACACTTTGTCCCATGCTACCATATGAAGCTTCTTGTTTGTGTTGACATCCCCAAAAAATAAAAATCTAGAGCTAGATTTTTTGAAAACCTTATGAACAGCTTTAGGTAAAATTGCACCTCTAATCCAATAAGCAATGGTGTTTTGGATAGTGAATTTTAAATATTGGAGTCTACCAGTCATGGATAGGGTGGTGGCTTTCCAACCAGTAAGCTTCTTGTGGATGCTATCAATAAGCGGCATATAATCTTCAATCTTAAGCCTATAGAAAGCCAAAGGAATGCCCAGATATTTGATATTGTTAGATATGGTATAAATAGAGAGAGCATTACATATATCAATTTGATTGTGCACATGTTTAGGGAACATAATAGCACATTTCTCATGATTAACATGCAGTCCAGTCATAGATGCAAATTCATTGAGAATTGAAACCAGCAAGCTACAATTATCCAGAGTAGCTTCTCCGAAAATGAGGACGTCGTCAGCGTAGAGCAAGTGAGATATTGTATAATCATTTAAAGTAATCCCTTTGAAACCTCTATTCTCTAAAAGATTAGAGAGCGCGTCCATGACAATACAGAAGAGATAAGGACTCATGGGGCAACCCTGTCTGAGCCCAGCAGAATAATGAAAGTAGCCTTCTAGTGCCCCATTAATAAGGACAGAAAAATTTACATCAAAAATACATGCTTTGATCCAGTTGATAAAGATACTAGGAAAATTTTTCTGATATAATCTAGCAATAATGAATTCCCGAGAAACAGAATCAAAAGCTTTCTTAATATCAAGTTTGGCACAAAAAAATCTACCATTTCCTTTTTTCCCCGCATGAAACAAAATATCAGATGCAAGTAAGATGTTATCCGTAGAAACTCTAGATTTAAGAAAACCAGCTTGATTGTCTTTAACAATGATATTCATTACTGGCTTCAACCTTTCAGCAATTACTTTTGCAATAATTTTGTAAATCACATTACATAGGGCAATAGGTCTATAATCAGATATATTGGCAGCATTTTTATGTTTAGGGATAATGGCAAGAACAGTAGATTTTACTCCATTGGGCATATAGCACTTAGCAAAAAAGGATTTGACTGCTTTGCAAACCACCGGCCCTATAATGTGCCAACTAGACTTATAAAAGTGGAAATTGAACCCATCAGGTCCAGGACTAGAGTTAGAAGCACCCGAAAAAACTGCAGTTTTTATTTCTTCATCAATCACAAGAGAGCTGAGAGAGGTTTGATAGCTTAACGGTACCGCATCCCCCATAGGAAGAGACCCAACATCCTGATGCATAGCATTGATAGGATTATATATATTTTGATAGTGTTGTGTGATATTAGCAATCACAGATTCCTTATTGGCTGAAGGATTAGCAGTGAAAAGATTGATAAGAGATTTTCTGCTGCCCATTCTGCTCCTAATCTTCGCAAATAGGAATTTAATATCATCTTCCCCATGTTTAAGCCAATTAACCTTGGCTCTTTGTATTATCCAAGAAGCATACATTTTGTTGAAGTTAGCCAGCTGCGAACTACAGTTTTTGTAAGCAGTAATAAGCTCAACATTGTTGTGATCCGCCAACAATTGTTCAAGTATAATCTTTTGATTGTAATTCAGATGATCAAGGTGCCTTTTAACACTGTTAGAAGAAGCCCAGGTTTCTTTTTTGATATCACATTTGAGCCGCTTAAGAGTTTGACAGAAATGAGAAAGAGGATTGCCAGTACATGGCTTAGAAAAATTATCTAATAATATAGCCCAAAATTTGTCCATCTTAGTCCAATAGTTTTTGAAGAGGAACCTATGAGACGCCGAGAATGAGCTCCCTGAGTGCAAGATGATGGGACTATGATCTGAACATGAGGGATTTTGGATGGAGCAGAAGGATTCAGGGAATTTACTCAACCAACCCTCATTCACAAGAACTCTATCCAGCTTAATGTGGATAGGATTATCAAGACGTTAATTATACCAAGTGAAGTTACTGCCAACAGAGCGAAGATCCTGGAGACCATTAAGAAAAATGCAATCATTGAAATCTTTCAGGGCAGCATGTGAAAGAGGGGAACCACCAAGTTTATCTGTTGCAAATCTGCAACAATTGAAATCTCCAATGATGGCCCAAGAGACGTAATTCTCAGGAGCAGCAAGAGAGAGAGAGAGAGTTCCACAATTCTTTGCGATCATTCATACTGTTAGAGGCATAAACAACAGAAAGCTGAAAAAGGGGTTGATTAGCCACTAAAATCAACCCAGAAATAAGTTGGGAGGTAATAACAGAAGGGGTGAAAGACAGTTTAGAGGAGTTCCATTTCACCCAAATTCTTCCTGAATCAGAAAGATGAAAGTTATTGCAGCTGCCCTCACTTAAAAAGAGAGAGTGAGAGAGATCAAAATGCGGATCAGCAAGAGATTGGATGTTAATCCTATTCTCCAAAATACAAACTAGATCGAGCTTAAAGGACTCAATAAGACGCTTAAAGCAAAGTACTTTATCAGGACGATTAAATCCCCTGATATTCCACGCTGCTACAGGTGGAAAAGACATCAAGAATTTTGTTTATTCTGGGTTTTTTTCCTCTGCTTACCCTTTGCAGGTTTTTTGGCTGTCATTGTTTCATTCTTTTTATTGTGCTTGCCCAACATAACAGGCTTTTTGTCCTTCCCTGATAAATCCACATTAGCAGCCTCACTGTCTAACTCCTCTCCCGAGTTAGTAGAATTGTCCTTCATATCTCCTTCAGCATTTAGAAGGTCAAATTTGTTCGGAGAAATAAAAACTTTCCCAACCGATGAGATTTGAATGTTGGTAGAAGAAGAAGAAGCCACAACATTAGGGGAGTTGAGATTTGGAATGCCCAAACTAAACTGATCCCCATTGACAGGAATATTGCTATTCGAGAGAACCAAATCATCAGATTTCGAATTTGATTTGTTAGAGGTAGGGGAATGCGGCTGATAGTGTAGATTTTGTCCAGGAACAATGGAAGGAATAGCAGTACTTTTGTTGGCATCAACATGATTGCTAGTTTCCTGAATGCCAACTGAAGAAACATGCATTTTCACAACATACCCAGGATTAGAGGTTGGTCTACGAGGAGGCTTCCTACTCGTACTCCTACCTCTAATGTTATGCAGGATCTTATCTTTATCAGCTTCTTGTGCATTAGAAGTTTTCTCTGGGTTTTTCAAGCAAGCAGAAGATAGATGCATTAAAGACTTACAGTGCTGGCAAGGAGAAGGACGCCATTCGTACTGCACTCTCAAACTTACGAC